CTTGGAAAGAGTCACTCATTCTCGTCCCCAGAGTCCGTCGTATTTAGCTCTTCGTAGAGGACTGGGTACTCTGCGAAATAATCTCGTTTCCAGGCCGAGGTTGCCTTTTGCATGTCCCCAGTCGTCCCTATCTTTGAGCAGGCTCCCTTCCTCAAGTGGTGGCGGCTACGTCACCAAAAGTTTCCCCGAACTGCAAGTGAGCTGGCTCGTAGGCTAGTGCGCTGTTACAGTGATATGGGCATCCACGCCGGCGTTTTGGGCGTCCCCTTCCCTAAACCCTAGTGATATGGGCATCCCCTTCTCGTATTACCTTAGCGATTTGGGTTAGGGTTAGAGTTAGGGTTACAGGGGATGTCCATATCACTAGAGTTTTGGGAAGGGGATGCCCAAAACGCGGGGAAGCCCATATCACTGTGACAGCGCTCCCTTTAACTTTTCTCGTTAATATGAGAAGGAGATAGAGAGACAACGACTGGAGACGAGTCAGCTCATCTCCGGTTAGTGTGAAATGCAGAGTACTGCAGACTGAAAAAAAAGTTTCCACGCAGGATGGCGAGAAGCTAACTAACACTGAATTATGATGGTCTAGACTAGTTTTCTAGCAACAGAGACGGAGTCGAAGTTGTAAGTGGAATATTATGAGCCGGCTTATGAACGAGTAAACATCAAAAATTGGAACCGCAAGAGGACTCATATGCCGGACGCCGTGGTCGGAGTGGGACTCGGACTCGGCGTACAATCTACGGTAAAAACAAGATACGAAGAGAATAGAAGGAAAGTTGCTGTTGGTGGAAAATCATCTATGTGTGCTTCCCATTAACCTAAAATTTCCAGATATTTCTGTCGAAATATTGATGCATCGCTTTGTTCCAGACGGAAATTTTTCGGCAGAGTGGTACTGACCTAGGCAGGTGGTCCTCTTTGACTTGCCCGTCCGACCGAAACTTGCCGTTCTATTTCCAAAAACGTTTTGATTTCAGTGCCACTATGCTGAGAAATAATCAAGTTCCCTCGAAAAGAAAATGGAACTCTTCAGTCCAGATGGAAACTTTGTTTCAATCGAACAATGCCGTTCCATATCTCTTGGCCAATTCCACAGGTTTTTTTACCGGTTGGTGCGGCAGAATGGAAAGCACGGCCCTATAATTCGGAGTCGGAAGCACTGGGGGACTATAAACCAATCACAACGCTCATTCCCAGTAATGAATATGGATGTGTTAGGCCTTTTGGCGCAGGAATCTCATTAATTTACGCAGGAATACACGAAGACTATTAACGCCAATGGCGTCATAGCCCTTTTAGCGCTTTTATCCGTCATAAATACAATGTAAGAATATCATGAACCACTATCAGACCGGGGGGCTTTTCAACTTCCCCCCTTCTCCCTCACTAAAAAGTGGAATAACTTACTTCAAAACCGTTGAATCTTAGCGACTTAACCTAAAATCTCGTGATCTGGGAACATTTTACAGTCATCGTGACCTGTTACCATGGAAACTGAGTTTTAACAGCCGCAACCTTGTTTTTCAAAATTTGAGCGTACTCCTGAACCGGTTGTTGACAGTGACTGACTGACGTTTCGACAACTTTCCTGTGCGGTACTCATCTTCAGAATCAAAGTGAGTTGCATCACGTCAGTTGATGGCATAAAACTCTGACTGGTTATTGACCTGATTCAAAATGGCGGATGTCCTCTGCGGTAATTCAAAATGGCGGCTGGTTCCAGAGTTTCAGCGGAAAAACGTCATCATAATATCACTGCTATTGTTAAATCTCATGTGTTTGTCTGGTTTTACCAGACACCTTATTGAGGGAATAATTGTATTTTGTCAATACAGCAAGTTGTCATTGCGTCAATCGGCTTATGCCTCTGAATTGGAGAAATGATGAGTACATTATTCTGAGTAATTTTGGTGGCCGTATGATAAGCGATTTAGAAGTTAAAGAGGGGGGCCTCCGCGCCCCCTCCTCTCTGGTCGCACAGTAATTTTTAAGGAGTTATAATAACTCCTCTAGTGGGTATAATTTAACTCCTTACAGTGGAGTCATTTTTGGGGGAGTTATTTTAACTACAAGAAGGAGTTTAAAGAACTCTTTTTCGGGAGCAAAAGTGACCCCAGATATTGAGGAGTTAAAATAACCCCCAAAAAGGAGTTATCCTGTACCTAATATTTTTACTCCACTTTCAGAGTTAAATTAACTCCAAAAGAGTAAAAACAACCCATGTAAGGAGTAAAAATAACCCCACTTCGGAGTTATCTTAACTCCAGACTGGGAGTAAAAAGAACTCTTTTTCAGGAGTAAAAATGACCCCAAATTCGGAGTTAAATTAGGAGTTAAAGTAACCCTCAAAAAAGGGGTTATCCTGTACCTAAAATTTTTACTCCATTTTTGGAGTTATAATAACTGCCTTAAAATTACGGTGCGCAGAGAGCAAAAAGGCCCATTCTAAGGGACTACAAATTAAGTGGGGTGCTAATTGTTGGTTGTTCGACCGGTTGGATAGTGTTTTTTTTTTCATATTTTCTTGTCAATGACTGCCTTGATTTTTAATTGGATGACTAAAAACCAAGAAACGTTTTCATTGGTTGATTCATCTTGTCGAAGAAAAAAGCGATATTTCGCCTTTGACTTAAAATCTCTGAGCCTTAAAGTATTTATGCTGGCAAGTTTTACTTCCTGCCGCTTTCATTCAGTACATGTTCATTGCATTTACAGCTTAAAATTGGAGACATTTTACTACTTATACGCGCAGGTTATTTAATGTCACGGTCAATAAATGACGCTATAAAACACAACACATTCAAAAGCACTTGATATTACAGATTATATAAGGCTCCTGTTTTCACTTATGGTTTTCGTCTCTCTGAAAAAAGGATTTCGAATTTCTTTTTCAGGAAATTTTCTTTTCTTTTCTTTTCTTTTCTTAAGTAAAAACCTCCTACATTTTCCTTAGTGTATACAAGTTTCGTTAACTCGTTAAATCGAGAATTGAGCGAAGGGTTGGACCATTAGTTGCAGCGTTTAAAGAAGTCCAATACTACAAATAAAGATCTTGCCGTGTTAGAAATATTCATAATCTTTACTCTAGATTTAGCACTCATCCTGCTATATCGAGTTCTCCGTCCGAAACTTTGGCTCTTCAATTTTGAATATTGATTGTCCATCTCCATTGTCCGGCCAAGTCCATAATTCAGGTCAACAGAGCGAACTCAATGCAAATACTGAGTCCTTAACTTTACTTTTTAACAGCTAAAACCATTTTCAAATGCACTGCATCATACCTTTAATTTATCAAGTATTTCTCAAGTCATCCTGTCGACAGGGAAGTATGACGATTATACGAAAGCCATATAGCGAAAAACCGCAAGTATACAAATTCATAAAAAAGTTTTCCAATACCATATAGGTACAAAACGGAACAACGAACTGGGAAATTCTACAACTGAATTCAAATCCGTTACAACATGACGTAGAAAAGCGAAACTGGCTAGGAAATCCGGTTTTTCGGAGGAAAAAAAAACATAAAACTGATAATCTAAGTAGAATCGAATGCATTGATTTGCAAAAACGGGACATTGAAAATTGACTGTTAAATTCATTTTAAAAAGTCGAATAAAAGCAACAAACGAAAAACAAAATTTGAATTCCATTCTTTTTATTGCACAAAAACAGGCCTCAAAAACTTTGAAAGACACAGGACCACCAACTTCTGTAACTCTTACATTATATATATCAACAGCACGTAGATTCTGGCGAATTCCGTCGTGTAGAACTAAACCAATTGACTGCTGGTGGAATATAAGTTCCAATTCTTCTTCGTCTCTCGGTTTCTCTGATCGTTCCTCTTCTAGGAGTCTGCACAAACGGCAAAGGAGCTGTTGCTATTCCATTAAATTGTTTCATCAGGTTTATAATTTCTTCGGTTGTTAAAATGTTACTGTCCGGAACAACAGACATAAACTCCTTTTGTGACATTAATGAAAATCGTATTCCTTTCACAATTTCTTCCCCTAAAATTTGTCTTTTACTCTTGCTACTTGTATGCTCTGATTGACCTTGTTTCTCGAATTTTCTTGAAGCCCAACGATCAATAGCTTTGAATATAATTCTATCTCCTTCACGCATAGCGATTCTCGATTCACAACTGTCTCGACAAGACACCTATCCAGTTCAACAAACTCGTCNTGCACAAACGGTAAAGGAGCTGTTGCTATTCCATTAAATTGTTTCATCAGGTTTATAATTTCTTCGGTTGTTAAAATGTTACTGTCCGGAACAACAGACATAAACTCCTTTTGTGACATTAATGAAAATCGTATTCCTTTCACAATTTCTTCCCCTAAAATTTGTCTTTTACTCTTGCTACTTGTATGCTCTGATTGACCTTGTTTCTCGAATTTTCTTGAAGCCCAACGATCAATAGCTTTGAATATAATTCTATCTCCTTCACGCATAGCGATTCTCGATTCACAACTGTCTCGACAAGACACCTATCCAGTTCAACAAACTCGTCTGCTTTCACCGCCTCCTCTGTCCTCTTGTCGATCACTTCCCAGCAACGCTTCACGAGGCCCTCCTCACCAAAATGCTGTGCGAGGGGAAGTATGCAAAACACGTTCGGTGCGTCCAAATTGGTCCGCAGAAAATCGGTACATTTCTCAGCCAGCGAAGGAACAATGTATTTGTTTGCTAGATAAAGCACCTGTAATACGTTAGCTCCACTGAGGTTGATATCGTCAGTGTAGAGGTAACGAAAGAACTCCAGCAAATCATCATAATCACAGTCAGGCAGATGAATGAGGCTTGATGTCTCCGCCATTTTCCCGTGAAACATGGCAAAGAATACCGGGCTGCTAATTGAGAGGACAAACTTATGAGCTGGAACGATCTTGTTGTCCTCGCCACTGGAAGCTCGAACAACGAAGTTAACATCACTCAGTAACTCGTTGTTAAAAACGAAGGCACATCTTGTCTTTATGGAGTTCTTTGAAGTTTGCCAATCCTTCTCTGTCGACATAATTGCTACTTCTGTAACGTCAAACGTTCAACAACCCTTTTCAGCTTCCCCAGCAGCTGAAACGGTTTTTTCCCTTACCGGCAAACAAAAATAGCGATACAATGCCGTCACGCGATACGCGGTATGCGGTAAAATAATTGAAGGTTCACAGAAGGTTGCTATAAACGATTTGCATTTGGAGAGGCCCC